TCCCACTCCTAATACAGTAGATATATTGAGGATAAGTTGTATGTGGGGGAAAATCGCTGCAAACAAGAGGAATGTGGCATTCCCCCATGAACAAGCAAGTGGAATGAGAGGAGGCTGCAATCTTACTTTGTGCAGGTCTGTTGTGAAAAGATGATAGTGTGGCAAAGCTGACCTTGAAAGGAAAAACAATTCTTGCTGTAGCTGAACAAAGTTTGTTCACTGTGCTAAGAGTGTAATCTAAGATACTGTAATTCACTGCACAAAGGCTAGAAGATACAGTAAAGGACAAATCGTACACTACATTGCCATGAAGTTTATAACTGATTTGACTCCCCCCCTTTTTTTTTTTACTAAATATACAGTCGGCCCTCCGTTTTATGGGAGATCTGTTCGAGATCCCCCCCCAGAAAATGGATATTCGCAAATATTTAAGCCCCATAGGCACACCCCATTGATTTAAATGGAGGTCGCTCCTCCGTGAATATGGAAAACCACAGACTTCAAGTCCCCAAGAATGGAGGGGCGACTGAAGTTGGTTGGGGGGCTGGTAATTTGACTGAAGAGGTTTTACCCCTTAGATTTACTTGTTACATGCTTGCAAGTCAACTCATGGTGACCCTATCCTAGAATTTTCTTGGCATGATTTATTCAGGCGAGGTTTACCAGTGCCTTCCTCTAAGGCTGAGAGAGTGTGACTTGCCCAGTGGATTTCCATGGCTAAGTGAGGATTCCAACCCTGGTCTCCCAGAATCCTAGTTCAACATTCAAACCATTGTACCATGCTGGTTCCTTAGGCTTACACCATTTTCTTATTCTTATCTGCTGTACCCAAGTTATTGTCAAATGGATGCATAAGTGTAAGTACACCCCCCTTGCTCTTTGTGTAATAGATAATAGCTGTGGGAGAGGAGGATTGAGGCAATGATACGTGAATGAAAGGTTACACACATTTCCATATTGTTTTGGTTTTCAAAGAAGCAGTTCCTTCTACTGCATACAGGTGTCCTCAGCTAGATGCATACAAACCCAGGCACCAGGGAAGTTGGTCATGGATTTCCCATCATAACATTTATTATGTAGGTTTTTGTGGGTTTTTCAGACTGTGAGGCTGTGTTCTAGAAGACTGTATTCATGACATTTCACCTGTATCTGTGGCTGGCATCTTCAGAGAATGAGAATTGCCATGTTCACCATTATCTGAAGATGCCAGCCACAAGATGCAAGTGAAACGTAAGGATTACATTCTTCTAGATCAGGGGTAGGCAACCTTTCCCCTTTAAGGGCTGAGGGACTTCAGCTCCCAGAATCCCAGGAGCTATTGGCCAACATGGGACTATTGACCAACATGGCTGAGGCTTCTGGGAGCTGAAGTCCCTCGGCCCTTAAAGGGGAAAGGTTGCCTACCCCTGTTCTAGAACATGGCCTCACAGCCCAAAAAACCCATAAAAACCTATGGATGCTGGCCGTGAAAACCTTCGACTTGACAGTGTATTCTGTCTTAAGATAGCTCAGTATTTGTTTCCTTGCTGCTGCAAACTAATGTAGTTGTTAAATTTAGGTAAAGATATACTTGTATTTTGCCACTGTTTTCTGATTTCTCATGAATAATGGCTGGGCTTTTGATCCATGCTAGAGAAGCTGCTTGAAGTGTCATATTCCCCTAGACCCCATTTCCATGCCTTCTACATGCATTTTACATTTTACTCAATGTTTATCTTTAGAAACTTCATGCCTCTCCCCCCCCCCCCCCCCCCAGTAATTGACAGGAACAATATGGAGAGCATGGATTGCATTACACACACAAACAATGACCAAAAAATTACTGGAGAGAAAAGGAAGCACATAGAGGCAGAATCTACACGCCAGTATGGTCTGGGCCTCTTCTGAACCTGCCTCAGTTTATTTTTGATCCAGGTCAGCCGTTGCTGTATCACACTAGTGTTTTTAGTCTGATTTGAACTGTACTCGTGAGTCCCATGTAGGTGTAAACTCAGAGCAAGGGGACACGTCAGCAATGAGCATATAGAAGATCTGCTGTTTTGGCCATGCGATTTGGGATGAGCTGCAACCTCTTGGATTTAAAAAAATCTCTTGCACATAAGCATGTACTGCTTTCCAGGAAAGGCAGCATGGCATAGTGGTTTGAGCATTGGACTATGACTCCAGAGACTAGGATTCGATTCCCAGCTCAGTCATGAAACACACTGGGTGACCGTGGGCAAATCACATACTCTCAGACTCGGAGGATGGCAATGGCAAACTCTCTCTAAAGAAACTTGCCAGGAAAACCCCATGATAGGTGCACTGTAGGGTTGCCATAAGTCAGAAATGACATGAAGGCTCACAACAACAACAACAACAACAGCAATGCTCACAGGCACAGATTTGAATATCTTGTCAAACTGTTCATTTGTAATATGTTTTTACTTTAACTACAGCCTTATCTGTGTGCACCCATCTGCATTATCTCTGCTTTAAACAGTACAGTTTTCTATGTGTCTACTTGGAAGTAAGCCCTAATGGTTTTACTGATACTTTCTCAAAAGTAAAAGCATTATCTCAAGCTTTCCTTTCACTTTTGGTGAAGAAAGAGGGGAGGGGGACTGTGGATTTTCTTGCAGTGACCAAATATTACAAGGGAGCCTACTGAGATTTCCTCACCTGTTGAATGCTGGATGTTGGAAGCAGCTAGGGCAAAGACATCCAAATCCTCACAACATGTTGCAGTGGACGGCTTGGGTTCTGACTTGCTGGAAACCACAATGACAGAGGATCTTCCCCAAGTCATCCAGCCCCCAGTCCTCCTGGATTGCCCCAAAGGAGCAGCACATTACCGTAGTCCTCACTGGGGTACAGGTACTAATGTGCTGCTCCTTTGGGGTGATCCAGGA